GCTGGTGTGTCTCTCTACTAAAGGACCTGGTCGCTCGGTTCTCCAATCTCGAGCCCCGGTTCAAATTCAGCCTTCATGTAGTACCGTCAAAGATCACTGCTACCTCCAAACTTAGGACTTCCCAAACGGGCTTCGATCTCCGGTCTTGTGACCCGTGCTATGCACAGTCTACGGATTACAGCCTTCCAGAATCACCTCAACGGTGCCACCAGACACCGTCTCAACAGATCTTCCATGAACCAACCTTAGTGAAGATCATCGCAGACTTTTTCTATATTACAAAAGCGCCGTTCCTGGGATTTGAACATGGGATCTTCCCATAACATTTGGTGATGGTGACAACTAGACCACTTCACTAAGTTGCCACACCTCTAAAAAAAACTCAATTTCAAAATATATTTGTTAAATAAAGTTATTAATATTAGATTGGTACTTGTTCAAGTATAAAAGTATTATTTAAAGAGTTATTACAGTATTATTAGTAATAATTATAAAGAAAAATAATCATTTAACTACTAATCGTATTCTTATTGGCTACAGTAAGACCTCTATAAGTGTACTTTCTTGGGACTATAGTAAAAAAAAAGCAAAATGTGTACTTAAAGAGGGTGTGCATTTATAGAGAACAAAATATATAGTGCTTTTATAAGTTAGAACTAAGCTATGCTGTGCATTTAGAAAGAATTTATATAGGGTATACATTTATAAAGTGTGTACTTATAGAGGTCTTATTGTATTAGTAAAATATATATATATGTATATAAATCACATGATTGGCAATATCACCACTGGCAAAAAATACTATTATTATTTTAAATATTATCAAAAAATTTTTTATTTAAATATTTTAAATTTTAAAAAAAGAGAATTATAAACAAATTTATAGCAATTTCTAAACAAATTTGCTTAAAATTCTCTACAGTTTAAAAGATAATATACTAAACTTTGTAATAGCTTGATTTTTTATATAGTATTAATAAATAAATAAATAATTATTTAATTTTTTTAAACTTTAAATAAAAATATTTTAATAACTACTTATTTAAAATTTATATAATTACAAAAACTTAAAATAAAAACTTTTTATTAATTTTAAATATATAATTATAAAATATTCTTGCTTAAAGTTTAAAAAAATTTTTGGTTTAGTTTTTAATAATTATTTTTAAGCTTCAAATAAAAGTATTTTAATATTACTTATTTAAATTAATAAAATTTTTTATTTTAATTCTTTGTATATAATATAAAAATAAAAATTTTTTATTAATTTTAAACAGATAGCTATTGGAATACTTTTATTTGAAGTTCAAAAAATCAAATAACTATTAAAAACTACAAGAATTTTTTGAAAATTGATAAAAATTTTTTTATTTAATTCCCTGTATTCAAAAATTTAAATAAATTTTTTTATTGATTTAAAATAAGTAGTTATCAAGATATTTTTGGTTAAAACTTAGAGAACTAGTAAAGATTTTTAATAACCGGGTGGGTTTTAAGAATTTTTTATATAAAATTTTATAAAATTTTTTAAAAAAAGCCGGCTGGGCGGGTCTAAAAATGCATGTTATGAAAACCAAGCAATTAAATTTGTATAACCTTATACAACATATATACAATAATATAGTTTTATTCATCAGTATATATATAGATATAGTTATTTTCATTTACCCAATTGGCAGTCAACTACATAAAACCGGTTTTACGTATAAAATTTGTACGTATAAACATTATTTTAGCTGTAAGAATTTTGACTGGCTAAAAATTAATCATTTTATACGTTTAATTAAAATACATAGATTATATACGTAAAAGTTACGAAATGGTTTATAGTTTTATGACGTATCAACAGATGTGGTAAACCAAACTAGCTCAACTGGGTTTGGCTCAAACAATAACAATTTGAGTCTCGAACTGAGTTAATATGGTTCCATTATGACTACTCAACATCATGTTTTAGAATTACCAATTAATAATTAATTTATTACTATATACTTTAAAACCTACTGTAAATAAACTTATTATGCCACGCCAATTTAATTCTTTGTTTAACATAACCCCAAATTTTATATGAAAAAAACCACAGTATATTAACCAATCAAATTTCAGTATTAGCTTTATATATATATATTTTACAGCCAATAGAATTATCATATTTTTGTGTTGTTTTATGCCCTCTCTCTTTTTATGAGCTATTTTCTACAGATGGAATGGCCTTATTTATCGCTATTTAATTAAATAAAATAAAACCAGTATTGATGAGCATAATTTAATTTAATATGCTGAATAAATAACTCATAATTCAATAATTCGCTGTTAAAATGTTTAACACTTTCTACACATGTGCGTAGTAATTTGTAAATATATACTGTATATGTTTAATATTGTTTGTTAGTAAGCTGTATAAAAATTAAGATTTTAATTATTTTTGTGACACCCATTAATAATGATTGTGCATGACAACGGAGAAACCATTTTCTAAATAATTTTTTAGTATATGGTGAAATCAAGGTAAAACGAGAGTACAGTATATGGAATTTCTAATAAGAATCAACATCGTGGACCATTCAGCCACTACTACTTTCATAATATGCATGCAGAAACAAGACTATAACGATAACTGATAATAATGATTTGTTTTGCTTTGTTGCGTCCTTTTCTAGAAAAACTAATATTTGAGTTTAACAATAACGCCTATTTCTTATTTATATTACTTGTTATGTGATTCTTTGACGTTTGGAACTTACCAGATCTTCGTTGCACACAACAAATACGGAGTTTCTCATATAATTACCATATTTGAAAATGCCAAGAAAATGCCAAGAATTCAATATGATATCCTATCGAAACGTTTCGTACAATGTTTTTTTCTACAAAATTTTATGATTTCTTGCGCTTTATTCCCTCTAACTTACTCTGCCAACTTACATTGAATTGTGATATTTATAATTCAAAGTAAAATTTTCCGTAAGTTTTGTTAATTCCTTTTTTCGACTTTCGTCGGCATCTTTCAATTTTTTGCGTTGCAAACTTTTTTTCGATGTATACAATCGATTCTACTTATTCCTGACCAAAAAAAAGGAGGATATTTGATCAAACATTTCGTTTCATACGCCAGATTATTCAAGAATCTGCTTTTCTTTACAATCAATGGATTCCAACCTCATCCTTTATTTTTCGGCTGCGAAATTGGTAATATTTTATTGACATTGCTGCTTTTTTTTTATTAGTTCAGCCATGCGTATCATTCCTATACCAATTTTTGAACACAATTATTCATATCTTATCGTCGATGATAAAGCTAACGAAGGTTTGCAAAATCCCATTAAATTATTGTGGCGCTGATGCTGATACATGGCTACGGAAAAATCCCAAACCCTAAAAAAAAAAAAAAAAGAAAAAAAAACATAATAATAATAATAATAATAATAATAATAATAATAATAATAATAATAATAATAATAATAACAATAATAATAATAATAATCTTAATTTGCAATTATGTTATCTATAAGAGAATACTTGAACATTTAAACAAAGATTAGAGGGCATCCATAATTTACGGTAAACCAGTATTGATATAGGGATCTTAAAGACAATACCATATGGCATTACCTTCAAGGCCCCTCCCTATCTTTATACAATATAGTGCTGGTTTAACGTAAATTATTAATAAAACTTTTGACTATGAGTTTAGCCAGACCCTTTGGGTTTATTCAATTCTAAGCATTAGTATGGATTAATCCAAAGGGAAAATTTTTTGTTAAATAATCCTTGTTTAAATAAATCAAATGTTCCCTTTATAGGTAATATATTTGAGATTTGTTCAGGCTTGGCAAACAAGTATATGATGACTATGGTCAATATTTGACCTGTCAAGAATTTCTAATTTTTATAATCCGGCTTAATAATATCTCTTTTGACATCAATTTCGGACAAAAGGGCTTTTAATTTTGGACAAAAAGACATTTGATTTTGGACAGAAGGACAGAAGGACATTCAATTTTATACAAAAGAACTATTCATATAAGTTGGATCAAACTGTGATATCTCGCAATCTAGTAATCCGATTTTGATGATTTACGTACCATTCGTATCGTCTCAACGAGATGAATCGAATGGTACCTAAATTATCAAATTTGAATTACTAGATTGTGAGATATCATAGTTTGATCAAACTTATATGAATTGTTCTTTTGTCTGAAATTGATGTCAAAAGGGATATAATAGATTTTATATGAAAATGTTTCAGCATCTGTTTTCCACAATTATTTATGAACTAAGATTTATAATTTCCTATAATGACCTTTTAATTAATGATATATCCAGCCGCTGCGGTTGACCCTGCAGAACCGAAAAAGGTTCTAGCTGTCCTCGCTCAGACTGGTGCGAAATTAACTTCAATTTTGACGACTCATCATCATAAGTAATTAATTTATATTTTTAATGTTGAAAATTTTAGAATAATTTCTTTTGTTAATTTTTTTTTTCTTCATCCCTAGTAATCATTCATTTGGAAACATTGAGTTAGTAATGACCAAACCCAATCTTGCTGTTTATGGGGCTGATGCACGAATTCCTGGTAATGCCTTTAAGTTTTTAAACCTAATTATCATTTAAATTTAATTGGTCGCACTGATCTTATTTATTTCTATTACTTTACAGAATTAAATTATGTTTGCAAGCATAATGAAGAATTCACTGTATGTTATACAATTAATGACTAAAATATTCCTTTGCCAATTCTGGGAAATATCGTTAATTATGTCGTTTTGAGATAGGTTGGCACTTTAAAAGTTCGATCGTATCATACCCCATCACACACTAGGGGTAGTGTGTGCTATTATGTAAGAGACGGTAATGAGGCAAATGAGGAAATGGAAAGGGCTGTATTTACTGGAGATACTTTGTTAGTAGGTAAGAAATTTTTTTATTTTCATAATTTGCATACAGTCGTTATTTATTAAAATTTCATATTATATTGATATGTTATATTATTTATAGGTGGATGTGGAAAAATCATTGAAGGAGACGCAAAAGATATGTACAACGTTCTTTATAACATTTTAGGAAAACTTCCAAAGGATACAAAAGTTTATTGTGGCCATGAATCTGCTAGACTCAATCTTCAGGTGAATATTATTATGGACAAATATTAGAAATACATATTAATGACTAATAGTGTTAACATACAGGTTATGTGAGATTTTATTATTTAAATAGATTTATTAATTTTAGTTCGCGAGCACGGTAGATCCTAACAATCATAATATACGCGTAAGTTTTATTAGTACCTATGAAGTGATTCTAATTCATGATATTTATGATCATTTGTTGGATAAATTACCTTCTTATTTCATACATTTAAATAGAAAAAATTGTCATGGTCTCAAACTTCACAATGTACCGTTCCTAGTACTATTGAGGAAGAATTAGAATATAATCCTTATCTAAGAGTTTCGTATGTATTGTGGTTATGTTGTGTAATCATTCTTATATAATAAACTTATATATATATATTTATCATAGGGATCCCGCTATTCAACAAGCAACAAATGTTGCTGATCCATATGAAGTTACGAGAGTATTGAGGGAGTTAAATGATTCGTTTATTAGCCAAACAAACGGAAGCAATGGAGTAGGAATGCACGGAATTAACGAAAGTGAGAGTATTATTAACGAAGTGAATGGAGTTCATAATGGAATAAATGGGATCTCAGGTATGCACATATGATTAAGTTCGTCAAATCAAAGAACTTAGAAATGAAAGCATAATGTTGTTTTCGTATATTATTCATATGGGGAATGTGTGCTTATTCAATTATTTATTTATTGACATTCATTTTAAACGGTTTTTATAAGATTCTTTGATTCAACAAACATCTTATTTTTCTCAATAGATGGTAGCCTTCCTTTTAATACTATAAAATTTTAAATTTCAGAGATTTTCGACTCTTATATAAAAATGAATATATATGAAGCTGAAGATTTAAATATATTAAATACGATTATAGGAAAATCTGGAGGAAGTTCAATTAAGACAACAATCAATTAATTTTTAATTCAAGAAAATAAGTATTATAAGGTTCTATTTTTATTCATTGTTATGCATCTTATTTTAAATTTCTTATTACGAATTTAGTTTATTTCATTTTTCTTTATTATGGCTAGTCATAACTTCCATTAGGATAAATTATGCACATGTATGAATTTTTTTTGTTCATAAACGAATAAATTTCAATATCTGATCACGCACATCTTCATTTAACAATGAAGACCCGATTATTAAATTTAAATTTAAATATTCATTTGTTTGCCTATAAACCTAATATGTAATAATGCATTCATGTTTTAAAGAGAATTTCTGATGAGAATTCTAATTTTTGATGTATTAATGTTTCATACTGGTTTTAAGAAGAAACTTCTGGTAAGAAATTCCATCAAGAAGATTTTGTTTTCTAGTTTTAAACATAATGTGTTAATAATGCATTTATACTGGTTTCCGGGAAATTAGGTTCCTTTCTGATAGAAAATTCCTTTGCCTTTGTGAATCTGTAAATATGACGTATGATGATGCATTTATGGCTTGGTAGGATCAACCGGAAAATAGTTAGCCAAGAGAATGATATGTATATGTTTCAATTTCGAAATGTTACACTTAGTAAAGTTTTGATACGATAATGTGCATTATCGCTATCTGTTTATGTATTAAATTTAATAACATTATCATTATTTTATTACATTTGTTAGATTAGGTGGTTAGTTTTTTTTTTATTAATGATTAATTCATACTTTCTAAATTGTTACAAACACTCCTGAATAGAATCATAGTTATAAAAAATTTCCTTCTCGAGTTGCATTTTTTCTAGACCAACAAATAGTGTTTTGATTATTTTTCCTTTGCATTTTAACCACAAATTACTTTGCATATATACACTGCTTGCACAAACCGTGAACCATTTTCCATCTACTATAGAAAATTACCAAGTAGATTACTATTAACAGAAAAAGCATTTGAGCCATGCCACAGTCTATGACCAATACAGATTTGTATAAATGCCATGTCCTTATAATTTTGCCTTATTTATACAATTAAAATATTGCCTTATTTATAAAATAAAATATATATCTTGTTACGTTAAAATAGATTTTTCACCAATTATCGCACACGATAAATATTCAAATAAACAAACAATTGGCGGAATGATAAATAAAAAAAAAACCCTTCTAATGCATAAACTTTCAAGAGCAATGATAATATTGCGTCAATCTTCCTGTTTAAATCTTTGAACTTATTCTTTCCAAGAATATTGAACATTTGAGATATTTGAATCAAGATTATTTGAAAATGAATACAGGAATTTAGTATGCACTTACAGTGCCTTTCTATTCTTTTATTCATAATAGAAAAACATATCTATCAAGATAAAGTATACTCATTGATCATCAAAATTATATTTTTAGCCTACTCTTGTGTGAAAACCGGATCTCTTCTCAATTACTGCCTATATATTGGTTCCCATTTCGCCGACATTACTCACAAGTGACAATTTACTAAAAATATACACCTGAACCAATAAAATGCTAACCCTGTGTGATACGGCTAAATGGTGAAGTAAGCAGCAGCGGGACTAATGTCCCACTGTTATCATGTCCAACGCCACTCATCCGAACTAAATTCGTCGACTTAGCATTCATCTTGACATAAATCAACTTCGTCAATAAAAACAAATTATCCAAGTCGATGCTTGTTAGTCCATGTGAAGATCGGCATCGTAATGAACCTTTGATTAGAGTTGATAATGGATATTATTCATTGAAAAATTGTAATGGATCCAATGGAAGATGCATTCGCTCCATTCATTCATTGAATAGTTAATATATTAAGCTAAGAACCTTCCAAGCTTTAATGAAGATATATAACAATCACCCATCCGAAATCGATAAAATTTTTATTTTAATTCCATAGATTATAGAAAAAAAAATTTTCATTAATTTTAGATACGTAGTCGTCGAAACCAGATTTCTTGACAACTAGCTATCCAAAATCGAAAAATTCCGACTTTTTGGATTAAATAAAAGATTTCTTTATCAATTTTTGATAATTAGTTGTCAAAGTTGGAAAAATTAAGGTACAACTTTTTAATACGTAGTCGTCTAAAATTTTCTGAACTTTGGGTGAAGATTTTTCGACGGTTGCCTAAAATCTAATCCTAACGCTATAGAGAATTTAAAATTAAAAAAATTTCGTTGTTTTTGAAACGTTAAGATATTTTTATTCGAAAATTAAAAAATAAATTTAGACAGTTTATCCTATTCATGAACTATTCACAACGGAGCTCAATGTATAAAATGTGCCAATCCTGCTTGAATATATTGTGTGGTTTAGAATTATTAGTGCACAGATGGTGACCCAAAAGAACGTAACGTATCGATATTACAGATTAAACCCACCCGATTTTGAAACCGAAAATCTGACGGAGAGTAATGTGTTTTACTAATAAATTAAACCTGAACATAAGCAGTCTCTTCGCTTTAGCTTGAAAAATCTCTTTAACTTGCGTAATATACCAGATGCGGTATATCTTGTAGCTTTGTTAAATTATATCTTCGAGCATATGTTGGGTCAGGCTTAATAACCCTAGCGTTGCGACGTTTCTGAGATCAAGGGGTCGTCTACCGACATGGAATTAATCGATGGAAAAAGGTGAGTCATAATGCATAAAGGCTTAGTATAGCCGCGGATACTTAAGCTTCTCTACTAGTCAGTTAAAGGGCGTAACTTGAGCAATTGCATCCAATCATTATTTTTATAAATCGCACTACCATCTAACACTGTATATAGTGCATATAGGATAACTTTCTCGATCATATAACTGTTAATGCTTTGAATATTGTTTAAAATTTGGTTAGTCATACTTTGAAACCATTTGGATTCTTTGTCTCTAAGAATTTTAATAATTGTTTAAAATAAGTATTGAGTGTGTAATAAATATTTATAGCTATTTAATATAATAAATGCTAGTCTTATTTAGCCTTGTCTTTATACTATAGTATATATATGTAGATATTAATATGTTAGTTTATATTTTGAAGATTTTAAAATATTGCTAGTATAGATATAAAATCTTCTTGTTTGATGATCAGAAGTGCTAAGTATATTTTGGTGTTGAGTGGGTTTGTAGATCAACTAAAATATCAGATAAGGTGGATTTGTCATCTGCTTTTCTGTTTTATTTTTGGTACTTGTACTAAACTATATTAGAAATTTTGTTGAAGTAGTATTCTGTTCTCAATTTCTACTAGCATCTTTTGATGTTGTGATTGGTATTGTAAGATTGAATTTAGTGTTTGCCTGTTAGGTTTGCTGTGCTATAGAATACTAGCATATAACCCATCGCTTTGCTCCAGAATTAAGAATAAGTATAAAGTTAATATATACTATAGTTGCTATAGTGGTTGTAGTAAGTAATTCAATTACACATGTTTATATTCCAAAGCACAGAATTTAAACATGAACCCATGGATGCCCCAAATTTGGGGGACGTCTAAAGCGGAGGCAAATCATGTGATCAATGGGTTTCGGGCTGAAGATCACCGTAGATCCTTTCCGAT